GGAGGATTGGTTTGTTTGAGGAGAAGAGCGAGGGCAAAGCAAAGCCCCAGAGAGCTCTGACAAATGACTCAGAGCAGCTCGCAATCTGCGATGGTACCGTGGCCGCCAGCAGGAACATGACGGAGAAGCTGTGGAAGGCAGCAGATGGGCAGCTTACAAAGGCGATCGCGGCCTACAATAAGATCCTTGTCGAGGGCAGAAAGTTGGTTGCTTCCGTGGATGAGAAGCAGGACAAGGACATGTACCAGAGTGTGCGACTTGGACTGGTTTTGTATTCCTGAAACAACCTTGCCAAAAGCTTCAACTTTTTTATCCTCGCAAGTAAAGTCACCAATTTAACTCGTAAGTAAATACATGGAGGCTTCAACCTTTGTCTTCGCAAGTAAAGCACAAACTTTAACTCGTAAAAGTAGTCTCTTCAACAACAGTCGCATGTAACCAAAGTGTTGTGCTTTCTCTCGCAAGTAAACCCAGTGCCCGAACACCGAAACCTGTGTGAGACCCCACAGCTGTAAGGAAGAGCATCGTCCAACAAGCAACAAAATCGAAGCAGGGACTTGAGCACCTTCTCTCGTGGCACGAGTACGAGGATGAGAATGAGGACGGGCCGATCACGGTCTCATCATATTCCAAGACCATGAGAGAGTCCGGGCGAGTAGCAACTCATCTCGAAGAACAAATGGCAGCCGTGAAAGCCAAGTTGACTGTCCGAGCCAAAAAAGGATGCTAGACAGATTTTGAATGTGTGCAGTTCCGGAGCTGTCGCCTCTATGTGGTGCAAACGGCGATTCTGAGTTTTGGCGATGAGAGAAAAAAGCAACGGCGATGATGAGAGCTTGAGATTTGGCGCTTTTCTGGTGATTTTTACATGTGAGCAACGACGTGTATAACTATAACCTTTTGAATCATGTTGGGGTGTTGGTCTTCGTGACTTTCAGCTTCAATTTTAGAGTATATATAACACCGATGGTGTTGTTGTAGCCTGCTTTGCATGTGTGAGTGCACACATGTGTAAAGCTATACCTCCGAACCTCAAGCATTGAATCAACCATGAAAGTCCATACCTCCAAAACCCTGTGAAGCTCACAACACAACCTTCGTAACCCCAAACCCTGAACCCTCTATAAACCCTTAAATCCTGAACCTTATATATAAACCCTCACAAGATTTGTTTCGTCCAGATTGAGGGGCAGTGGACCGTGTGGTTTAGGGGGTTTGGGTTTTGCGGGGTTGGGGCAAAAGCTTTCTGTTGTTGTTTGTATAGTATATTTGGTGCCCACACATATATGTATAACTTGCTCACAAGCCTCAGCCTCAATGCTCGGTGTGTCTGACCATGTGTGTCCCGTCCTTATACAAAATGTTTTATGGCTATAGCGAACAAACCACTGTATGAAATAAGGCACAAAAGTTCAGCTGGCAACAAACACCAACTTTGCATAAAGGTGCTGTTCTGTTTATTTATATATGGAGAGAAGGTACCATGGAGGATGCAGGGCCCGAGCGAAAGCGACGAAAGGGTGGGGTCCAACAGAGATTGGGCCAGGCGGTGAGTGAGAAGTCCACCTCAAGTTCTTTGCACGATTTGCTGATGACGTATTTGGCACAAGGCCTCCTGTCGGCCTCTATGATTCATGCAATTGCAGTTGCAGCGGCTGCCGATATTAGAAATGCAAGGGACGGGAAAATTCTTCCTGATTTGGACAGGCTCAGCAAGGTGAAGCATGGAAAAAATTTGCAATCTTCTATTGACAACCACTTGGCCCAGCAGTCCAATCTTCCGATGCCGACAGAATTTAATATCCCCTTAGCAGGACAAGTCGAAGGCACGGCGACTTCCATGATATTGCTTCCGCACGAGATTATGCACCACCTTTGGAAGACGACGACTGGATGGATTACTTCTGTGTTGCCTGATGCGGAGGCTTTGCCTCGGTTTTGGAGATCGTTCAATGGACACCCTTGCATGTCAAATCATGCGGTAAAATCGCGAGCTAATTGGATGCAAAGGGCTATTCCCCTTTGCATACACGGCGACGAAGTTCCTGTTTTTGGAGTGGGCAAGATATGGGCTCGCAGTGTTTTGGCTTTTTCATGGGTATCGCTGATGGCCACAGCGGCCGGCCGATCTGCTGCCGATTGCAACCTCTACATTTGGGGCGTTTTTGAGAAGTTCATTATTCCGGCTGGCGGCGAGGGGGCTGGGACAATGGAAACTTTTTGGCAAGTGATGTATTGGTCTTTCAACATTCTTTACACCGGTAAATGGCCTGCTCGGGATTGGCAAGGCAAGAAGCAGCCTGGTGTGTTGTTGTATATGTACACATGTGCCAGAAATCTGGAAACCCTTACATTTTAGGACCCTGTGGGAACCCTATAAGCTGTAAGCCTTTTTGTCTTTCTTGATTTTTTATGATGTGGGTCCTGTTTTAGATATGTGACTATATACATACACACCCTATGTATGAGAGCCCTGTTCTCAAATCCAACCCTAACCCAACAGCTTCCTTGATGGTGATGATATATATATATATATACACAGTATATAATATCGTATAAACATATATAAGCCACAAAACCACGGACCCGTGGAATCCCAAAGCAGCACGAACCGGATGTGAGAAAAATCACCACACAGTATACGTAAAAAACCCTCTCACCACATGTAGATATATATATGTAGATATATATGAACCTGTCTCACAAGTAAGAAAATGTTTGTTACACGGCACAGAGGTATGGGGCCAGTACAAAGGAGGGCGAACGAGCGGGAACCGACCTATGCGGAGGATATTATGGTGTCCTGGTTCAAATGGCTGGCGACTTGGATTATTATGCGAAATGGCTGGAGGTTCCACGATGGAGCAATCACAGCAAACCTTGTGCTCTTTGTCGGGCCGCCTTCAAAGGACCACTAACATGGATGGACAATCGTGCAAATTCGCCGTGGCAAGCCTCGTGCCTCACCACCACCAACTGGAGATCCCACTGGAATCCATCATGCCAGCTGTATTCTTTACCTGGCTTTTCGGGACTTTGTATCACGATGGACTATATGCATTGTATGTTTTTGGGGTGGATACAGTTTTTTTATGGCTCCGTGCTCAGCATCGTGGTCCACGATTGTTTGGGTGGGAGTATCTTGGCGAATTTGAAATACTGCGACTCCTTCATCAAGAAGTACCAGCGAGACAACGAAACCAGATACACATTCCGCCAGCGACTTCTGAAACTTACAATGATACAACCAAAAAAAGGATTCCCCAAGATGAGAGGAAGAGCTTCCGATATTCAATCTTTGGACAGTGCAATTCTTGCTCTATTCGAAGAGCAAATGGACGAGGGTATCTATCAACACAAGCAAATCCGGCTCTTTTTGCGGTTGAACCTGCAGCTGGCTGAAATATTGGAAGCTTATGGGCCACGGTACGGCTTCTTGGCTTTACCTGAGGAGCAAGCAAACCTGGCTTTCAAGCTCGGTTGCCAAATGGCACAGCTCCACAGCAGCCTGCAAGCCCACTACAAAGGGACGGGGGAGAAGCTCTTCAATCTCACAAGTAAGACCCACTTCGTTTTGCATAGTCTCCTACTCAGCAGTTTTATTCATCCGTCGATGGTCTGGTGCTACAAGGGAGAGACGACGATGCATCGCCTGCAGATTCTATGGAAGAGTTGTTTGGCAGGGGTGAAGCACTGGCATGCTTCCAAAAAGGCTGCCCTCAAAGAGAGGCACCTTTTGTTTCTGCGGGGCAAAGTTGGGCGATCGTGAGAGCTTCTTTCTTTTCTGTCGCGAAAAAAAAGAGTGTCTCTCTGCTATATGTGGTGCTCCTGGTCTTTTGTTTGGGCTTTTGAATCACAGTTGTCGTATATACTGGTGTGGATCTTATAAGCAATCTGCATGGATTCTCTTTGGTTAGTTTATGGCTTTGGGCCTGCGAATTTTCGGAAAAGTCCTTACTTCTGCTGTGGATCCTTTACATGTGGTGTCTGCGATTGCAGAGCAAAACAAACTCATGCCGGTGATTTTTTTAAATCCTTTACATGTGGTGTCTAAGTTTGCAGCCGCAAATATGAGTTCCATGTTTGTGTTTGCATAATGTTTTTATGTGTTTTGTCATGTTTTTAGCTCACCAGAAAATTTACGTAAATTTGGTCATTTTACACTAAATCCTTCGTTTACAGTAAATCAAGCCAAAGTGTAAAATTAGGTAAACAGCAGACTCAGGGTAGCTTTGCGTTGGCGACGGGTCCGGCGCGATGCGCTTCAAACCGCCTTGGAAAAAGGTGCCATGCCCGTCGTACCGGTTTGGGCTTTTCGGCGGTAGCACGGCTTGTCATGTAACACACTTGTGTGTGCTAGGACAATCCCGCGAACGTTGATCCCGCAGCTGCCTTTGCGGATCGACGTCGCCCGGCCTTTAAGCTCCCACCTCCTCCACCTTTTTAACGTTTTATCGGATTTTGTGGACCGTCGCACGCTGGCGGGCGGCGGGCCGGGTAGCTGAAGGCGCCCCCCGGAGCCGGCTAGCGTAGCTTTGCCTTGGCGGGTCCGGCGCGATGCGCTTCAAACATCTTCAAACCACCTCGGGAAAAGGTGCTATGCCCGTCGTACCGGTTTTGGTTTTTCGGCGGTAGCACGGCTTGTCGGATACAGCTGGCCTGCTGGAACGCACTGCGAGGCAATCTTGGCATACGCATGTCATCATGGGCCATTGAATTGGTGGCCTGCAGTTGCTGCAATCCTCGCCCGCCCGTTCTTGCCGGTGCGCGAACTCGCCGATGCAGTCGAGCTCAGTGCGTTGTTTCTGGGAATGGGTTGAGCCGCGCCGTTCACGCTCGCAGAGGTCGTCCGCGCCGTTGCTGCACCGCAACAAGGCTTCTTCTACTTCGTGGCACCTCTGCAAGAAACATTTCTCACACTGCTGTTTGGGGTACCCGTTGCCTCCACGCTGTGCGGGGGCCAGTCCCCAACACCGAGCCCCGCCCCGCTGCCCCACAAGATGGCTTGCCGCTGCACCAAGTCCCGCATGCAACAACGCTCACTTCCAACCATCCCTGTGCTGATGCAGCTGTGCCTGCAGCCGTGCGTCCGCAAACCGATGCACCCCCACCTCCTCCCAAACCGCCTGCCCATCCCGCTCCTTGCCCCGACGGCAGGCCTCCACAGGAAAGTGCTGGTGGCAGAGAGTCTGATGAGGATTTCGTTGGGATCGTGGCAGCGCGCATCGTCGAGGCAGCGCGCAGTCAGAGCTCGATGGATGTGGACGACGAGGATGTCGGGGCGGGGGACAGCCTCACGTGCTGAGCTTGCTGCGGGGGACGCTAACGATTCTCTGGGAGAAGGGCAGCCCGTGCCCGACGCCACCAGAGCATCCCAACGACGGGTGCTCTCAGCCGAGGCGGCTGTCCGTGCATTCCGTGCAGGCCTGCGAAAGCTTGATGCAATTGTTCTCGCGATCCTCACACTGTACAGCGTGCCGGTGCAAGTTGCGAGATTTTTGTAGGCTACACTAGGAAAACCCTAGGAAGTAGTTGTACAGTGTAGAGAGCAGAGGGTTTGAGCTAAAGGGCTTAACCTGAATGCAAGCGACTTCCGCAGCCCTCTTTGCAGAGTGTAGAAAAAGAGCCCAATACGCAACCGAGTGGTGGGGCTGGTGGATGCTGGTGGGACTGGGACTCCGACTGGAGTTCCCAGTGGGGCTGGAGGACCTCCCAGCAGGAGGAGGCCTCTTCCAGCCAGGCACCGAAGGGTGCCAAGGGGAGCGGAGCAGCCGAAGCTCCAGCTCGCCCGCGCCGCCCTCTCCGCACAGCAGCCCCAGGCGAAGACCGGGGCAGACCAGCCCAAAGGGCAGCCGAGCCCGAAAAGGGCAAAGGCAAAACCGGCCCGAGTGTGGGCCGCCCCGCCTCGGAGTCAGGGAGCCGAACCCCCCGTCGCGGGGAGAAGGGAGCGGGGAAACCCACCAAGGGCAAGCCTGCCAAGGGAGCTGCGCAGCCCGCAAAGGGCAAGGCAGCCCAAGCTAAGGGAGCAGAGCAGCCCGCAAAGGGCAAGCCAGCTCAAGCAGGCAAGTCCGGCAAGGGCAAGCCTGCGACCCAAGAGCCTGCACAAGGTTCTGGGAAAAAGAAGAACCACCGAGGTGGTCGTTCCGAAGCGGCCCGCGCCAACCGCGAGGCCCGCGGCGCTGAAAGGCGCGAAAGAGAGGGTACAGACCCGGTCGTCCTCGTAGAGGGCCCGGGGACTGATATCCCAGAGCCGCGCACCCCGGAGCAAGCTCCTCCAGGTGCCGGCCAGGAGATTCAGAGCCCTAGCTCGGAATCCTCCTTGGACACCGCGCCGGTGCCCAAGGTGCCAGTCTTCACAGGCCCCGCGCCACTCCAGACTTCGGGGGAAGCGACTCCGAAGGAGAGCGGGAAGCCCCGCCCGCTGCTGCTGCAGCTTCCTCTTCTAGCGGGGCCGTCCCTGCTAAGAAGGAGGAGCCGGCAGAACGGGTTGCCCCGCCTGCCTCCGCAGAGGCGGCCGTAGAGCCAGCCGAGGAGGCAAAGCCTGACGCCTCACCGAAGGCTGCGCCTAAAGCAGCCCAGGCAGCCGAGGCGAAGGAAGAGAGCTCAGCTCCGAGGCTGGGCAGGAGCAAGCAGCCCCGGTGAGCGGACCCACTGCGGCCGCCCCGGAGGCAGAGCCGGAGGCCAAGCCAAGAAGCGCTCCAGCAGCAAAGGCCCCAACGGTAAAGGCGCCGCGGCCTTGCCTTGGGCCACCGCCTCCGCTTAGGGAGGAACGCAAGGCCGCACAGCCAGGGCCAGCAGAGCCCGAGGCTGCGGTACCTCCCGCGCCTCGGGAGGAAGCTCCAGAGGAGGAGCAAGAGCCCACCTCACCAGGCAGCGGTGAGGAAGAGGGAGAGGAGTCCGAAGAGAGCTCCGAGGGCCAAGGGCCGTGCCAGTTCCTCAACGGACTGAGGCACGCAGCGCGCAACAGGCCGAGGGCCCCCTGGGAAGCTGGCGGAGCAGTACGGAGAAGCCCTGACCTTGCTGGACGAGATCAGCCAGGCTATCTTCGACGCTTCAAGAGATGAGCCAGCAACCGGCTTATCCGCCTCCGCAGGGCGACCCCGTGGTCGAGGCCCTGCGCGGGGAAGTGGCAACCCTTAGGGGGTTGTTGGAGAGCCAAGCGCAGCAACTGCAGGCTGCGATTGGTGAGCTGTCGGCCCAGAGACAACAGGGCCTAGCTGCAGCAGCCGCTACGGCGGCAGTCGCCACGGCGGCGCCCGCCCCTGCGTCGCAGGCGAGCGGTGGAGGGCACTTGCTCAAGAGCATGCGGCTCCCGACCTCCCTTAAGGGGCGAGACGACTGGGAGCGCTTTGCCTTTCAGGCAGAGTCCTATACCTGGCGGTCGTAGACACCAGGTATCCAGCTGAGCTGGAGGTGGCTCGAAAGTGCAAGGTGCCACTCCAAATGGCAGCCATGACCGAGGAAGTGCGGACCCTTAGCGTCCGCCTCTTCGGCATGCTGGGCAGCTGGACCCAGGACTCCGCCACAGCTGTAAAGCTGGCGCGCGGAGTGAAGGGCCAGAATGGGTTCGAGCTCTGGCGCCTCCTGTGGCAGGAGCACAACCCAGAAAACGAGTCCAAGAACTTCACCTGGAGGCGGACTTTGCTGATGCCGAAATTCCCGCCAAAGGAGAGCGACTTCTCCTTGGCTCTGCAGGAATGGGAGGCAGACGTGGACCGCTACGCCTCCGAGTATGGCGCAGGGCGCGCCCTAGCAGACGAGGATCTGCGGGCAGTGCTGGTGACCGAGAGCCCCAACGCTCTTCGGCAACACCTCGCTATGCACGCGGCGAGTCTTTCGACTTATGCCGAGGTGAGGGAAGTAGTGGTGAGCTACTTGCAAGCCAAAATCTGGACCCCGAGTGCGCGCTACGCCGCCTCTTCCCGAAGGGACCCTAACGCCATGGACATTGGCAGAATAGGGGACCGAGACGGAAAAGAAGGGAAGGGGAAAGGCGACAAAGGCAAGAAAGGGGACAAAGACCACAAGAAGGGCAAGGGCGACCACGACAACAAGGGCCAGAAAGGGGACAAAAAGGGGAACCAGCAAGGAAGCAGAGACGGCAAAGACAGATGCCCCATCTGCTGGAAAACGGGGCACGCCGTAAAAGAGTGCTGGTTTAACGCCAAGGGAAAAGGCAAAAGGCAAAGGCAACAAGGGTCAGGTGGCCCAAGTGGCCGACGACGCGGCCACGACGTTGTCAACAGCCTCCTTGGCGACTGCGGGTCCCTCCGCGTCCCAAGCTGGGGGAAGCACCGGCGGCTCTGGCGGCAAAGGCCAGGTACGCCAGGTGCGCGACGACCGCATCCTAGGTGTGCGGTTTGCCCCGCCTCACGACACCGAGCCAGAGGAGGACAAAATCCTGAAGGTGTCGGGGAGTCTTCTCGTGGACTCCGGGGCGTGTGTGTCCGTGTGCAGGCCCGAGGCGTTTCCCGACCTGCAGCCCGCGGGCCCACCAAAGAGCCTTTACTCGGTGGACAACAGCCGCCTGAAAACAAAGGGCCGTGTCCAGCCGAGCCTCCTCTTAGGGGAGGAGCGCCAGTCCTGCAAGGTCAACTTTGAGGTGACCGAGGACATAGAGGACGAAATCCTCAGCATCAGCCGTGCTGTTGAGGCCGGTGCGGGCATTTGGCTCCACCGAGGACAGCCACATTTTGTGGCCCGACGGCGTCCGAGCCTCGATCCTCAAGAGAGGGTCACAGTTCCTCCTACCCTACGAGCGGGAGCTCCCGCCGGGGTCAACAAACCGGGTGGCACCGGTGGCGCCAGAGCCACCGAGCCCAGGCAAGGACCTGGAACACTACGACTACATCCCGGAGCACGACCTCGAGAGGTGGAGGACGCGGCGATGGAAGCAGCAGCCGACGAAGAGGCCGAAGCTGCTGAAGAGGAGGAGGCTGCGGGTAACCCCGCCCCTCTCGAGGAGCAGGCCGAGCAGCCTGACTCAAGGCCACGCGGCCTAAGGGCACCGCGCAACCCCACGGCGCAGGAACGCGCCGAGCACGAGCTCACTCACACGCCCTACCAGGCGTGGTGCGAGAAGTGCGTGGAGGGAAAGGCGCGCGAGGACCCACACCGCCGCCGCGAGCCCTCAGATGATCCGGTGACGCCGCTTGTCACCATGGATTATCAGTCGGGACGGGAAAGAAGTTGAGGAAGAGGCGTCGCTTGCCACGGTGCTGAACCTCACAGACAGGGCCACTGGCTGGACTCTGTCAGTTCCCGTGGCGCACAAAGGGCACAGACACGCGGCTTACGCCGCGGGGCTTGTGGAGCAGTTTGTGGATCGGCTGGGGTACGACAAGTTTACCCTACAGGCCGACCAGGAGAATGCCATAGCCTCTGTGGCCCGTGCGGTCCACCGCCGGCTTGGAGCTGCTAGGGTGCGTCTTCGGGACGCCCCTCGCGGGTCACACCAAAGCCAAGGATCCGTAGAGGGTAGGAACGCACACCTAGCAGTGAGGTTCGCACTTGGCTCTCGCAGCTAAGAGCGGACTACCCCGCCTTAGAGTGGGACACTTCGTCCAACTTGTTCCCGTGGCTTGTCAGGCACGTGGCCTGGCTGCAAGCCCGGTTCGGGACCAAGTCGACAGACGGGGTGACACCATATCGGGCAGCCACTGGCACCGACTATGGTGGAGCACTAATTTGCTCCTTTGGAGAGACCGTTCTAGCGAAGCTCCCAAGGCCCGGGAACAAAGCGCAAGTGCGCTGGGTCAAAGGGGTCTGGGCCGGCAAGCTGGAGCGCGACGACTCCCACGTGGTGCTAACCGAAGCTGGCGCACTCAACGTGAGGAGCGTCAGGCGACTTCCGCCGGAAACCCGGCACCAGACGGCAGCCGTCCTCAAAGCGTGCGGCCTGCCTTGGAACCCCAGATTTGGCCGCGCAGCGCCAGCAGAGCGCAGCGAGCCGATGATGGTGCCAATCCCTCTGGCCATGCCGGCCGAGGAAGTGGAGCGGCTAGAACCGCCCGGTGAGCGCTGGCTCTTCAGCGACGGGCCGCGGCCTGACGACGAGGCCCTCTTAGTCGAAGGGGCCGAGCAGGCCAGCAGGCTCCCGGACGCTAGCCACAGCGAGGAGCTAGCCAACGCAGACATACCGGACTACGAGCCGTCCTGCCGCAGCAAGCGCGCCGCCGCAACCAGCGCGACGGCTCAGGCGAAGGGGGGCAGAAGCGCGACTCTGCGGGTTCCTCCGCGAGCGCAGCGGCAGCACAGCAGCCGCCTGCAGCAAAGAGCCGCGCAGAGCCCAAGAAGGCACCGCTCACTGAGCGCGAGGTGTGGCAGCACATCGCTGCCTTAGCCGACCCGCCGCTCACCCCACCAAGGCGAGCGGGACGCGTGGGTCGGGCAGGTGACAGACCTGCTAGACTCTGCTAGACCGGATGCTCGACCCCAAGCAGGTCGAGCAGGCACGCAAGGAGCAGCTAAGAAAGCTGTGGGACCGAGGCGCTTTCACGCCTGTGCTGCGGTCTGAAGTACCGCGCGGGGCGCAGCTGTTCAGGGCAAAGTGGGTCGATAAGTGCGACAAAGGAAGGTACAAGTCAAGGTGTACCTGTGCCGACGTTAAGGCCCGCTACAGCCCAGAACAGGAAGCTGGCTTGGACGTTTTCGTCCCAACGCCAACGCCCGAGAGTCACTCCCTACTTGAGGTAGCAGCGCTACACAACGAAGGGTGGGTCACAAGGTCTCTGGATATTGCGGCCGCCTTCCTCATAGGGAAGGACCGCGGTGCGGCGGAAGGCCGCCCGGTCTACATGCACGTGCCTGTGGAGTGGCGCGAGCTCTTTGACCAATGGGTCTTGGAGCAGCCTGCGAAGGACCAGCAGTGGTACCGAGACCACTTCCGGGACTTCGTGTTCCGTGTGGACGGCAACCTCTACGGCCGAAGAACGGCTGGGTCCGTCTACAGGGACGAGCTGGAAGAGGTCCTGACTGGCAAGCTCAGCAAGGACTACGACTTCCAGCGGGGCGTGAAGGACCCGTGCGTGTTCCTAGACCGCCGGTCCGGCCTGATCCTTCTCCACCATATCGACGACATCCCTGTCGCAGGCCCCAAGGCTGCAGTGCTGAAGTTCACGGAGGTGGACCTTCCAGCGCACTGTGAGATAACGGTGGGAGAACTGGAGGAGCCGGGCACAGCGGTGGAGGTCCTGGGAAAGACCAAGGTGCGCACAGAGGACTCTATCCTCACGCTGCCCGACAGCAAGCACGCAGAGAATGTGTGCGAACAGCTGGGCATCGGTCCAAAAGACAAGGGGACCGTGCCTAGCAGACCTCTAGACCTGACCAAGGTCGAGGAGCTCTCTGCGGGTGACGCCGCGAAGTTCCGCAGCGCCGTGGGTAGTGCTATCTACCTGTCGGCAGACAGGCGAGACATACAGTTCGCCGTGAAAGAGCTGGCGCGAAGAATGCAGAACCCCAGGGTCTGCGACTGGCTCGCTGCGGAAACCCTCGCGCGATACCTGCGGGCAACCCCGCGGTTTGGAAGAGTGGTTGTGCTGGACCCCGCGTCCAAGAGCACAGCCCTTCTGAACTTGGAGGTCTACTCAGACTCCGACTGGGCGGGGTGCCCAGAAACGAGAAGGAGCACAGACAACATAGTTGCCTGTCTCGGGGGAGCAGTCATCCAGACAAGCTGCCAGACACAGCCCGGCCTCCCAGCAACCTCCAGCGGAGACGCGGAGATCCGGGGAGTGTCGCGAGCAGCAAGGGAGGCCGTCTTCCTACGAGAGCTTGCGGAGAAAGACTTCGCCCTGGCCTGCGGTGTGCCGCGGCTCTGGGCCGACTCCGCAGCTTCGATCGGAGCCGCCAAACGCATAGGACCAGGGTCTAAGTTGAGACACCTGGAAGTTGCAGAATTCTATGTACAAGGTGCGCTCAGAGCCAAACTTCTCGAACTGAGAAAAGTTATAAGGGAACCGAAAATCCGGCAAACTTCGCTACCAAGCACGCGAAGACTGGACCGGAGGTGCGGCAATCCCTGCCCTCCATGGGCATGGTGGACCTCGATGCGGTCGCAGGCGCCACCGAGGCTCTGGCCCAAAAGGGCACGATCAAGTCGATCCAGGCAAGCCCCTGGAAAATGAGACCGCCGACCAAGCTTGCACGGCTTCGCGGCCCTAGGCTTCCTTGCCTTCCTGTGGATGCTTTGGGGCTTTGTCTCCTGGCTCTGCAGGTGCAGACGTGACAGGCAGGAGCCGGAGCCCGAGGATGAGATCGAGCACCACGCCGAGCGTGCCGAAGAGCCGCCGCGTGCAGCTCAAAGGGCCACTGAGATCTGGCTAGGGCCAGAAGAAGAAGCCAAACCAGGCGCAGCAACGAGGAGGTGAGCAGAAGAAGAGGGGGCTCAAGAGCCAGAGCCTGAGGGCGAGCGGACCCCAGGTCCGCCCCCTGCGGCAGACGCTCCACCACCACCGCCGCCCGCAGCACCAAGGGCGCAGGTGTAGGGGACCGGAACTCTCCGGGGACGACGAGCATCTCTATGAGACGGCCCGTGGTGACAAGATCCACTTGTTCACCAACTGCAATGGGCTGAGCTCCGTCCCGCCGGATCAAGTCCTGATTGGCTTTCGCTGCCACTGCGGCCACTGCGCAGCAGATCCTCAGAACTCCGAGTTCCTCTGGACCGGGCTCGCTTTTCAGGTGGCCACCGGCCGCGTCGTGCGCCGGTACCATGGCCAACAGCGAGGTTGCCCATTCATGGAAGGGGCAACAATCAGACACAGGGTGTGTCTCCACTGCCGCAACGGGCACCAGAGCACCAAGCCCGGCAGTGCGGTGAACAACTCCCGCCAGCGGGTGCCTCCACCCTAAGGGGCCCCTAGCGGGTAGCACCGCACGGCGAGCCTTGAGGCTTCCAGCCCTGTGCGCGGGACGCTCCGCCCTACCAGGGGCGTCTCACCCTCCGACTGCGGGATGCCCCGCGGGAGGTGCTTTCTCAAACCCCTACCTCTAAGGGGGGTGCGAGATTTTTGTAGGCTACACTAGGAAAACCCTAGGAAGTAGTTGTACAGTGTAAAGAGCAGAGGGTTTGAGCTAAAGGGCTTAACCTGACTGCAAGCGACTTCCGCAGCCCTCTTTGCAGAGTGTAGAAAAAGAGCCCAATACGCAACCCTACCTCCGCGCACAAGTCCGTAGCACACTGCGCACT